TTCTTTATTTTTATCTTTTTGAGACAGTCTTACTCTATTGCCCAAACTAGAGTGCAGTGGCAAGATCTCAGCTCACTGCAACCTCCGCCTCCTGAGTTAAAGTGATTTTCCTGTCTCAGCCCTCGGAGTAGCTGAGACTACAGGTTTGTGCCATCATGCCTAATTTTTGTATTTGTAGTAGAGACAGGGTTTTGCCATGTTGGCCAGGCTAGTCTCGAACTCCTGACCTCAGGTGATCTGCCCGCCTTGGCCTCCCAAAGTGCAGGAATTACAGGCATGAGCCACTGCGCCCAGCTGATAGGCTCTATTTTCTAGGCTTGTTTTCCAGTTCTTTCAGGGTAGAAAATTTTCCTTTTTTTTTTTTTTTTTTTTTTTTTTGAGACAGAGAGAGTCTCGCTTTTTCTCCCAGGCTGGAGTGCAGTGGTGCAATCTGGGCTCACTTCACCCTCCACCTCCTGGGTTCAAAGAATTCTCCAGATTCAGCCTCTCGAGTAGCTGGAATTACAGACATGCACCATTATGTCCACCTAATTTTTGTATGTTTAGTAGACAGGGTTTTACCATGTTGCTAAGGCTGTTGCGAACTCCTGGCCTCATGTGATCTGTCCACCTTGGCTTCTCAAAGTGCTGGGATTATAGACATGAGCCACTGTGCTTGGCCAGAAAATTAACTTTTGATCTTTGGCCACTTAGATAAATACAAGACCAGTTTAACTGGTAAAAGCAAATACCCTTAAAGCAGTCTCTTGGACAGGTGGCTCACGCCTGTAATCTCAGCACTTTGGGAGGCTGAGGCGGGCGAATCACTAGGTCAAGAGATCGAGACCATCCTGGCCAACATGATGAAACCCTGTCTCTACTAAAAATACAAAAATTAGCTGGGTGTGGTGGTGTGCACCTGTAGTCCCAGCTATTCGGGAGGCTGAGGCAGGAGAATCACTTGAATCTGGCAGGGGGAGGTTGCAGTGAGCCGAGATTGTGCCACTGCATTCTAGTGTTGCAAGAATGAGAGAGAGAGGGAGAGAGAGAGAGAGACACTCCATCAAAACAAACAACAACAACAAAAAACAATCTCTTGCCCAGCACAGTGGTTCATGCCTGTTATCACAGCAGTTTGGGTTAGGATTACAGGAGTGAGTCACCACACCCAGCCAGGGGTGCTATTTTAAAGAGGCAGTCAAGGGAGGGGAAATGTGACAGAGATCTGAAGACAGTGAGAGAAGGATTCATGCAGATTTCTGGAAATAGCATAGAGATTGACAGATTCAGTCCCATCAGGGGCACAGGTGATTTTCAGGAGTTGAGAAGAAAGATACGAAAATGAATGTGGACTTAAAATTTTCTTTTCTTTTCTTTTCTTTTTTTTTGAGACGGAGTTTCGCTCTTGTTACCCAGGCTGGAGTGCAATGGTGCGATCTCGGCTCACTGCAACCTCTGCCCCCTGGGTTCAGGCAATTCTCCTGCCTCAGCCTCCGGAGTAGCTGGGATTACAGGCATGCGCCACCAAGCCCAGCTAATTTTTTGCATTTTTAGTAGAGACGGGGTTTCACCTTGTTGACCAGGATGGTCTCGATCTCTTGACCTCGTGATCCACCCGTCTCGGCCTCCCAAAGTGCTGGGATTACAGGCGTGAGCCACTGCACCCAGCCAAAAATCTTTTTTAAAAAAACTTGGTTTCACCATGTTGTCCAGGCTGGTTTTGAACTCCTGACTTCAAGCAATCTACCCTCCTTGGCCTCCCAAAGTGCTGGGATTACAGGCGTGAGCCACTGGCCTGGAAGAGACTATTAAAGATCAAACAGAAGTATGAAATGAGACTGATCCTGAGGCCTAATAATACAAGAGTCCAGCAATGGTTGGGGAAGAAAGCAACTGGACTTCAGTATCTGCAAAGACTGGCTTAGGCAAGTTGAGGGCAAACCATTGCACTGGGCAGTCAGAGAACTGAGAAGGCAGCAGATAGTCTGGAGAGTTTTATCCTTTAGGTCCAAGTCTTGGCCACTGGCTGCATGATAAAGGTCTAAAGCAAGACATTACACACAATGACTGAAACCTTGCTGTGGCTTGGAAATTTTTTTTTTTTTTTTGAGACAGAGTTTCGCTCTTGTTGCCCCAGCTGGAGTGCAATGGCGTGATCTTGGCTCACAGCAACCTTCACCTCCCAGGTTCAAGCAATTCTCTTGCCTCAGCCTCCCGAGTAGCTGGGATTATGGCATGCACCACCACATCCAGCTGATTTTTGTATTTTTAGTAGAGACAGCGTTTCACCATGTTGGTCAGGCTGGTCTTGAACTCCTGACCTTGTGATCCACACGCCTCAGCCTCCCAAAATCCTGGAATTACAGGAAATTCTTGGAATTTAAAGATTCTTGAATTATTGTGGCTAAGTCCCATTTCCTCTGGTTTAATGTAAATCATAACTCTTGCCATTACAGTGGAACTTGATGGATGTTGAAAACACAAGATAACTGTAATGAATTCACATTTCTTGGAGGTGTCACACGTTTTGAAGCAGTGGAGCTCTGAAAAACAAATGATGTCATTCTGCTGAGTATCTCATTGTAGTCAGATAGACATGTTTCTCCAAAGTTGGCACTTCTTTCTTCTATGTGGGTAGTTAACAATACACTCTATTAAACCGTAAGATTATGGGCAAAATATCAGGTAAACCATTAAGTGCAACTGTTTCTTCATAAATTACCTATTGTAAAGTTAGCCCAACGATTAATAGTTCAGAAGTCTAATGGTTTATAGGCATTTTGGGCAGTTATAAAACCACCTAAGCTCATAAAATGTTTATTTAATACTATACAATAATTCACACACATACAGGCCAAGCATAGTGGCTCATGGCTGTAATCCCAGAACTTTGGGAGGCCAAGGCTGGTGCATCACTTGAGGTCAGGAGTTTGAGAACCAGCCTGGCTAATATAGTAGAACCCCTATAAGAATACAAAAATTAGCAAGGATGTGATGGTGTGTGTCTATAATCTCAGGTACTCAGGGAACCAGGGAGGTGCAGGTTGCAGTGAGCCAAGATCACACCTCTGCACTTCAGCCTGAGCGACAGAGCAAGACTCTAAAAAAATAAAAAATAATAATAAATAATAAAATCACACACATACAAATTAGATAGAAAACCTTATGAAAAGAACATCTTTGCTTAACAGATAATAAAAGGAACAACCTGGAATGATAGTTTTCTTTTTTTTTTTTTCTTTTTTTTTTTTTGAGACGGAGTTTCGGAGTTTCGCTCTTGTTACCCAGGCTGGAGTGCAATGGCGCAATCTCGGCTCACCGCAACCTCCACCTCCCAGGTTCAGGCAATTCTCCTGCCTCAGCCTCCTGAGTAGCTGGGATTACAGGCACGCGCCACCATGCCCAGCTAATTTTTTGTATTTTTAGTAGAGACGGGGTTTCACCATGTTGACCAGGATGGTCTCGATCTCGTGATCCACCCGCCTCGGCCTCCCAAAGTGCTGGGATTACAGGCTTGAGCCACCGCGCCCGGCTGATAGTTTTCTTAAAATTAATGAGAGTCAGAGGATGACTTACTCGATTAATCTGCTAATAAGCCAATTTTATACCATGTCTCCGCCTACTTGGGCCCAGCCTAACAACCCATACTTCCTTCTCTTATTGAGATGGATTCTTGCCTTGTTACCCAGGATGGAATGAAGTGGTGTGATCTCAGCTCACTGCAGCATCTGCCTCCTGGGTTCAAGCAATTCTCTTGCCTCAGCCTCCCAAGTAGCTGAGACTATAGGCGAGCACCACCACACCCAGCTAATTTTTGCATTTTTAGTAGAATTCAGGTTTCACCATGTTGTCCAGGCTAGCCTTGAACTCCTGAGTTCAGGCGATCTGCTCACCTCAGCCTCCCAAAGTGCTGGGATTATAGGCGTGAGCCACCGTACACAGCCCATGCGTCCTTGAAGTACAAGTCTGTTCAGCTTTTTATGCAGTCATTACTCTGCAACAATCACACTAAGTGCCATCACTATGGGCTTTCAGTCACTAAAATTCCATTTATGTTCCTTTTTGATGAGAACATGAGAGACTCAAGACTCAATTCAAAGGACTAGAAAACGTAATTAAATTAGCAGAAAACCTGGAGAACCAAGCACCTTAAGAACACGTTGGGTTTCACAGGGACTGACTTAGTTTGGATCAGCCATGGGTGAAGCAGGAGCAAGGAGCAAGAGCAACAGTTGATGTTGTTTCTCAAACATGAGTCTTGTGCAGTAGCCAGTAACTGGGAAACTCAGCTGAAAGCTCCCTCCTCAAGCCTGAAAATTTGTATTTCTTATCAGATACAAACATGAAAAGAGGAGAGGACCTCTGAGATGATCAGAATAAAAGTATTCCTTCCTACGTAGCCAGCTATTTGAAACTGTGACTGAAGGGGGAAATCCCATTATGTGGATTCTAATACCTTTGAGAGCAGAAACTTAATTTTGTCTATTCATTAGAGGCAACTCAAACTTGGAAATAACATGACACTTTTGAGATTCATATTTTATTTACAAGTAAATGAAGAATGTCCCTGTAGACTCTGATTCGGGATACAAAGAACAATATAAAGTAGTTGCTGGCGCCACAGTGACATGTGGAGGAGTCTATGGCACTGTTTCTTGAAACAATGATTTTGTTGTTTAAAAACAAAAAAACAAAAAAACTCACCTACATGATTTCTTCATGTTGCATGTGTAAAAGAATGAAAAATAAGGCCGGGCGCGGTGGCTCAAGCCTGTAATCCCAGCACTTTGGGAGGCCGAGGCGGGTGGATCACAAGGTCAAGAGATCGAGACCATCCTGGTTAACATGGTGAAACCCCGTCTCTACTAAAAAATACAAAAAGTTAGCTGGGCATGGTGGCACGTGCCTGTAATCCCAGCTACTCAGGAGGCTGAGGCAGGAGAACTGCCTGAACCCAGGAGGTGGAGGTTGCAGTGAGCCGAGATCGTGCCATTGCACTCCAGCCTGGGTAACAAGAGCGAAACTCCATCTCAAAAAAAAAAAAAAAGAATGAAAAATAAAAGTGATTTTTCAAAACTCTACAGTCTCTGATCAACTGTGTGAGGTGGCCAGGATGTCACTTTCACTCAGTGACAGCCCCTACTCTTCAAGAGCAACAGCCTCTGGGCAAGACTTAGTACTCATCCAGAGTATCTGCTCGAGGAATGGAAAGACCTCGGTCCTTCAGGGCCTGCACTTTCAGCTTCTCTGCCTCCAACTTGGTCTGCTGTTCCACCCTTTGCTCTTCTAGAATTTCTTCAATGGACACTTGCTGGAGGGGTGTGTCACTCTCCTTTTCCAAGTCCTACAAAAGAGACAGTTTTGAAAACTTCACCTGAAGACCAAGAATAGAAAACATTACTGATCTAAAGGCAGATGGATTCCTGTATCAGGCTCGAATTATTTTTCATAACTGTGACAGGACTGAAATATCCTTCTCCTAGGGACAGGTAAGTTTTTCAAATAAGTGCCTGACAACACTCCAATAAGAAACATACTTACAATGAATGTAGTAATAGTGACCAGTATTTCTAAAACAAAGCTTTATGTGATCCACAATCCCATATTAGGATTAATTTTCTATTAGTCAAGGATTAATTTCCTTAAAAAAAAATTAGGGCTGCTTATAGACAGCTATCTCCCTGGCTGTAGAGCAGGCGTCCCCAAACTACGGCCCGCAGGCCGCATGCAGCCCCCTGAGGCCATTTGTCCGGCCCCCCGCCGCACTTCAGGAAGGGGCACCTCTTTCATTGGTGGTCAGTGAGAGGAGCACAGTATGTGGCGGCCCCCCAACCGTTTGAGGGACAGTGAACTGGCCCCCTGTGTAAAAAGTTTGGGGATGCCTGCTGTAGAGAATTCAAGAGGGAGGTTATTGAGGCAGTGTGGCCTTCGAAAAATTTTTTTAAAAATTATTTTAAGGATGAGTAGAGTGGCTCATGCTTGTAATTCCAGCACTTTGGGAGCCTGAGGTGGAAGGATCACTTGGGCCTAGGAGCTCGAGACCAGCCTGGGCAATAGAGTGAGACCCCAACTCCACCAAAAAAAAAAAAAAAAAAAAAAAAAGCAGGTGTGGTGGTGTGCATCTACAGTTCAGGCTATTCAAGTGGCTGAGGTAGAAGGACTGCCTGAGCCTGGAAAGCTGAAGGTCAAGGCTGCAGTGAGCCATGAACATGTCACTGCACTCCAGCCTGGGCAACAGAGCAAGACTCTGTCTCAAAAATAAATAAATAAATAAAAAGGCAAAAATAAAAGGGATACTCTTGCTTTCACCTCCCAAGTAGCTGGGACTACAGGTACATGCCATCGCACTGGCTCTGTAGTCTCTCAACTGTAACACAAGACTCTTTTTCCCTTTACGGCAAGAAGTATTCTAGGGAAAACCTCAGCAGACCATTTAGGTTACTAAACCAATTTGGTCCCAATATTTTTCTCTACTATTTAAAAAATTGTTGCCTAATAAAAAATTTGTTTTCCTTATTTAAAAAATACATGCTCATTGCCGGGCGCGGTGGCTCAAGCCTGTAATCCCAGCACTTTGGGAGGCCGAGGCGGGTGGATCACGAGGTCAGGAGATCGAGACCATCCTGGTCAACATGGTGAAACCCCGTCTCTACTAAAAATACAAAAAATTAGCTGGGCATGGTGGCGTGTGCCTGTAATCCCAGCTACTCAGGAGGCTGAGGCAGGAGAATTGCCTGAATCCAGGAGGCAGAGGTTGCGGTGAGCCGAGATCGTGCCATTGCACTCCAGCCTGGGTAACAAGAGCGAAACTCCATCTCAAAAAAAAAAAAAAAAAATACATGCTCATTGTAGATAATATAGAAAATAGATAAACAGGAAAAACTTAAAAATTATCCATAATTCCAATATGGAGAATTAACATTTTTGGTTAATATCCCTACAATTTTTCTATGTATATACTGACTAAAAAAAAGCCCCAGCCAGGAGTGGTGGCTTACACTTGTAATCCCAACTACTCAGGAGGCTGAGGCAAGAGAATCACTTGAACCCAGGAGGCAGAGGTTGCAGTGTGCCAAGATCACACCACTGCACTCTAGTCTAGGCGACTTGAGTAAGACTGTCTGAAGAGGAAAAAATAAATAAAAAATTAGCTGGGCATGGTGATATGTACCTGTAGTCCCAGCTACTCAGGAGGCTGAAGGGGGAGGATCACTTGAGGCCAGCAGTTTGAGGCTGCAGTAAGCCATGATCACACCACTGCAGTCAGCCTGGATAAGAGTGAGACTCTGTCTTAAAAACAACACCCCCAACCAAAAACCCACAATGCAAATATTGACTGTAATTCATTTTCATTTACATGTGGCACCGTATGCTTAATATTTTTATTTTTGAATGGCTTTATAAACATTTTTCATGTATTTATTTTTAAAGATATGGAAGGCTTCACAAATTTGTATGTCATCCTTATGCAGGGGCCATGCTAATCTTCTCTATGTTGTTGCAATTTTAGTATATGCTCTGCCAAAGCGAGCACAACATTTTTCATTTTATGTATATATTTTTAATAGAGTCAGGGTTTCACCATGTTGGCCAGGCTGGTCTCAAACTCCTGACCTCAGGCAATCCGCCCACCCCAGCCTCCCAAAGTGCTGGGATTACAGGCGTAAGCCACTGCACCCAGCAACATTTTTCATTTTTTTAGAGATAGGATCTTGCTCTGTTGCCCAGGGTGGAGTGCAGTGGCATGATCACAGCTCTCCATGATCTGAAACTCTTGGGCTGAAGTCAACCTCCTGCCTCAGCCTCCTAAGTAGCTGGAACTACAGGTATGTGCCACCACATCTGGCTAATTTTATTCTCCTTTTTGTAGAGATGGGGTCTTGCTATGTTGCCCAGGCTGGTCTCAAACTCCTGGCCTCAAGCTATCCTCTTGTCTTGGCCTCCCCAAGGGTGAGCCACTGTGCCTAGCCCTTATAAATATTTAATAACCAATGTCATAAGGCAGAATAACCTTGCTAAAAAAGTATCTCACTATCCACAGATTCAGTTTAATGTCCTTAAAATGAATGTACAGCTATTATTCTATGTTTCTGTAAGATGGCAAACCTAACAAAGTATTCCTGTTTTTTATCCTCCTCTATGACTTTCAATGACAAAGTTTGGGAAGGTATTGACACACAACTTCTCCATATGCTCTGGCCTGTATATATCACTACATGCTGCCAAGGTCTCAGAACCCACAGGCAGTGGCATTATCAGACAGCGAGAGGACTCTCGCCACAGAAATTACAATGAAAGCCACACAAATTACATAAGCAAGCCCTGGTCCAGGTCCAAAGTTAACAGCACCCAGCAAAGTATACATTACCACATAACACCTACCCTCCCAACCGGTAAGTAGCAGCTAAAGGGAGGACAGTGTTCTCAACCTAATGCACTGCCTCTTGGGCTTTTCAGTATGTTACTCACTGAGCAATTCATGCTGCTGCTGCTTCTTCCCAACAGTCTTATCTCTTAATGCTGTGTCATCATCGTCATCCTTGACACAGGATTCAGAGATTTCTTAACCAATGCAGTGTTTATAGAAACTAACTGATTTCTACATATGAACTCCTCTGGGGTTGAAACATAATTTCCCCTGACTGTTGATTCATATAACCATGTAGGCATTCCTGGAACCATGTTTCTCTAGTGGTACACCTGTAAAACTTCTGCAGCATCCAAACTATAACGTATTTTTTTTTTTTTTGAGACGGAGTTTCGCTCTTGTTACCCAGGCTGGAGTGCAATGGCGCGATCTCGGCTCACCGCAACCTCCGCCTCCTGGATTCAGGCAATTCTCCTGCCTCAGCCTCCTGAGTAGCTGGGATTACAGGCACGCGCCACCATGCCCAGCTAATTTTTTGTATTTTTAGTAGAGACGGGGTTTCACCATGTTGACCAGGATGGTCTCGATCTCTTGACCTCGTGATCCACCCGCCTCGGCCTCCCAAAGTGCTGGGATTACAGGCGTGAGCCACCGCGTCCGGCCTACGTATTTTTTTAAAAAGGGAACTTTTTCCTCACAAAAGGGATCCAAGGAAACAACAAAACTTCGAGAACAAACATGTTCACTTCTTTCTCTGTACACACACACACACACACACACACACATCTACTCAGATGTACCTCGGTGCCAATGTAACTGGTATAAAGAGCATGTTTGCTGTGTTTACTACCATAAAATAGAAGCACAATATCTGTCAGTACTTTTTTGAGACAGGATCTTGCTCTGTCACTCAGGTTGGAGTGCAGTGGTACAATCATGGCTCTGTGGCCTTGACTCAGGTGAATCTCCCACCTCAGCCTCCTGAGTAGCTGGGACTGGTGGTGCACACCATCATCCCTGGCTAATTTTTGTATTTTCTTGTAGAGACACAGTTTAGCCATGTTGTCCAGGCTGGTCTCTTGGAGCTTAAGTGATTTGCCTGCCTCGGCCTCCCAAAGTACTGGGATTATAGATGTGAGCCACTTGTACCCACCCAATATTTTTTTTGACGGAGTTTCGCTCTTGTTACCCAGGCTGGAGTGCAATGGCGCGATCTCGGCTTACTGCAACCTCCGCCTCCTGGGTTCAAGCAATTCTCCTGCCTCAGCCTCCTGAGTAGCTGGGATTACAGGCACGCGCCACCATGCCCAGCTAATTTTTTGTATTTTTAGTAGAGACGGGGTTTCACCATGTTGACCAGGATGGTCTCGATCTCTCGACCTCGTGATCCACCCGCCTTGGCCTCCCAAAGTGCTGGGATTACAGGCTTGAGCCACCGTGCCCGGCCCCACCCAATATTTTAACTTAAGTCTTTTCCTCTGATATGCTGCCTCCTTAAAATTAAATTCAAAAAAGTATTTTAAAAAAATCCTCTATGTCCCCACCATGCAGAGATGGGTGAGCTCCCCTATATACTGGCAGTACCAAGCATGGTGGCATTTTATAGTCCCAGCTACTTGGAAGGCTGAGACAGGAGGATTGCCTGAGCCTAGGAGTTTGAATCTAGCCTGGGCAACATCTCTGGAAGAAAAAAAAATACTACTTTACAGTCATTTAGTATCTCCCCATGGGTACTAGGTGCTTGGTTTCAGCCTTTACATAAGAAGGTTAACAATTTCTGCTACGTAAACATGCAAGAAATGATAAACTTAACTAAAAGTACAAACTACAAAAATATCTTATAAGTTAGAATATGATATTTCATATACTTCACAGCAGCATTTGGACAGTATTGATAGTATGGATTAGTCATTTCTAGCTATTTCCAAAATGAGGTCTCTGAACCAACCCAACCCTGGCAGAATTATGTCCTTGCTTTCTCAAATGGCTATTAAAAATGGCTACAAACCAAACCACTCTCAAGACCTCTGCAAGCTGATTTAAGACGTGGCTAGGAATTTAGAAAACAGAATGAAAAGCTTTAAAAATTAGGCAAACACCATAGTTTTTGGTAAGAAAAAGGAAAACAGCACTGGTTCAGCCCTTAATTTCAACTAGTCTTGAAGGGATTTATATTTTGCTTTTCCTTGCAAACCCAATAATCAGAAGTAGCGGCCGGGCGCGGTGGCTCAAGCCTGTAATCCCAGCACTTTGGGAGGCCGAGGCGGGTGGATCACGAGGTCGAGAGATCGAGACCAGCCCGGTCAACATGGTGAAACCCCGTCTCTACTAAAAATACAAAAAATTAGCTGGGCATGGTGGCGCGTGCCTGTAATCCCAGCTACTCAGGAGGCTGAGGCAGGAGAATTGCCTGAACCCAGGAGGCGGAGGTTGCGGTGAGCCGAGATTGCGCCATTGCACTCCAGCCTGGGTCACAAGAGCGAAACTCCGTCTCAAAAAAAAAAAAAAAAAAAAAAAAAAAAATCAGAAGTAGCAAGATGAAATTAAAGGTTTTTAAATAAGGTACTTAGCCGGGCACGGTGGCTCAAGCCTGTAATCCCAGCACTTTGGGAGGCCGAGGCGGGTGGATCACGAGGTCAAGAGATCGAGACCATCCTGGTCAACATGGTGAAACCCCGTCTCTACTAAAAATACAAAAAATTAGCTGGGCATGGTGGCACGTGCCTGTAATTCCAGCTCCTCAGGAGGCTGAGGCAGGAGAATTGCCTGAACTCAGGAGGCGGAGGTTGCGGTGAGCCGAGATCGTGCCATTGCACTCCAGCCTGGGTAACAAGAGCGAAACTCCGTCTCAAAAAAAAAAAAAGAAAAAAAAAATTAAGGTACTTAAAAAAATATCTGAGTAAGGCCGGGCGCAGCGGCTCAAGCCTATAATCCCAGCACTTTGGGAGGCTGAGGTGGGTGGATCACATGGTCAAGCAATCGAGACCATCCTGGTTAACATGGTGAAACCCCGTCTCTACTAAAAATACATAACATTAGTTGGGCATTGTGGCACGTGCCTGTAATCCCAGCTACTCAGGAGGATGAGGCAGGAGAATTGCCTGAACCCAGGAGGTGGAGGTTTCAGTGAGCCGAGATCGCACCATTGCACCCCAGCCTGGGTAACAAGAGCAAAACTCCGTTTCAAAAAAAAAAAAAAATCTGAGTACTTCTAGTAGGGGGTGTGATTTAACCTTTCACCTGCCAGCTGATCTTTCTGGCACAGGTACCACTGAAATACCCTCTTTCTGGCTGTTAGCAAAGGATCCAAGTGAGACTGAATTCCATTCTCGGAATAGGTAACAGAAAAGCTTTTCCTATAGCCTGTCTTTTCCTTTTCTCCCTTTACTAATATGGATATCACATTGTACTGCATATGCAATGTATGCTTCCCTCCAACACTGTATTTAGCTTTATGTCATGAAAAACTACTTGTAACCAATTGTTTAAATGACTGCAAAATATTTCAACATATATAAATCATGCCTTCCCCAGCATATATAAATCAAGGTTTTTCAATTTTCTGCTATTAAACAAATAATATGTTAATGAACACATTTATTATAGAATAATATTTGCTACAGAATAGTATTTCTTGTCACCCAGGCTGGAGCTTTTTTTTTGTTTTTGTTTTTGTTTTTTTGAGAAGCAGGTAGAGGCCTCATCAGCTAAAAGTTAAGATATTTTGCTGCCAGTGGGATCAAAAATCTTTAAAATGCTAAAAGGCACTGAAACAAAGTTAAGTATTCTCTGTAGCTTCCCTAAACTAATTTGGTAGTTGCGCCTGTAAGAAGCCAGATGAAATGTGGAAAATATTTTTATTCTCTCTTGAAAAGACAAAAAAAAAAAAAAAAAAAAAAAATCTAACTAGCATGAATAAAGATCTACAGCAGCTTAACAATTTTCACTTACTATTTCTCCTAGTAGGACCACATTTTCTCCTCTGACCACAAAAATCCCTCGAGGAATATCACCGTATTTTTTGCCCACATGAATACGCTCCACAGTCTGATGTAGCACTAAGTTTGCTATAAGTGTATAGGGAAGAAACAAAAATATTTAGTTTAAGTTATTGGGTAAAGGCCCATAACTCAATTAATCAGTTATTTTGAATAGAAAAGATTTAGCTAAACATCATTTCCAAACTTTCTAATTCTGAGGAAGGCTAAAATTTCAAATAATCTTCTACAGTTTCATTGACTGGGACATACCACTTAGGAGATGCCTGGGATTATATTGGGCTAATACCTGAATGATGGTAGAAATAAGAGAAGTAAATTCCTTTATTAGTTAATTGCTACCAAAAAAGCCATAGGAAACTATAAATGAATAAGAAACTTGGAAAACTTGAGCCTAAACAACCACAAAGATCAAAACTTTGTTTTCTGGAAAGGAACAGCTTTTCTTTTTGTGTGGGTATGTGTATGTGATGATCTGCTGAAGATTTAACTTTGTTTCAGTACTTAGGATTCATTTAACCCAATGCAGGTATCCATGGGTTATGATGCAGAAAAACCTATTTTTTCGCCCTGACAGATAACTATACTTTGTAATCTAAAAGTCAACTTACTATTCACTACCTTTCCCTCAAAGTACTCTGATGAATCTGACTTAAGGATCAGAACTCCAATTTGTTAACAATAATTATTTTTCTTCTTTCAATTAGTACTACTTGTCCTGTTTGAAGTAAAGGAGAAATCTATGTTCATATCTTCTGTAATTCTTGTGTTTTAATTATGTTTCTTCCTCATGCTCAAATCCAGTGATTTCGCAGATATCCAATAAATGTTAGCATGAACATGAAGTTCCTTGAAACAGAAGGAAACATAATCTTTTAACTTTAGAAAAATGCATGATGCAAAACAAAGACAGAGACTTCTGATTCTAATGTATCCTTATATGTAAAGTATTAAGTTTACTGTTGAGGGTCCTTAAAAAGCTTCAGGAAATGCCTTCTACCCAATTTTCATTGGCTAGGGAGGGATTACCTTCACTTCAGGAACTGATCTGAAGTCATTACACCCAGCCAATGTAGAAATGAGCAGCCTTAGGTGGGCACAGTGGCTCACGCCTGTAATCCCAGCACTTTGGGAGGCTGAGGCGGGTGGATTACCTGAGGTCAGAAGTTCCAGACCAGCCTGGCCAAGATGGTGAAACCCCGTCTCTACTAAAAATACAAAAATTAGCTGAGTACGGTGGCTGGAGTCTGTAATCCCAGCTACTTGGGAGGCTGAGTGATGCACAACAATTGCCTGAACCCGGGAGGTGGAGGTTGCGGTGAGCCAAGACTGCGCCACTGCACTCCAGCCTCGGCTTTGAAACAGCAGCAAGACCCCGTCTCAAAAAAACAAAACAAAATGAAAAAAGGTGAGCAGCCTCTTCAGTGGACTGAGTTTATTTCTATCATTTGGCTCCCCCTAATGGGGAGTCTAGTGAAAGCCAGTTTTAGAAGCATGGGCTTGTAAACATGTATAAGCTTTGAACCACCTAATCCGAATGTAGAGCAAACAATGATGTACTCAATAAAATCGGTTCCACTATGCCACACACAAGAAAAAGCTGCAGATAAATTTCAATATGAAATAACAGAAATTGCAATGGGCAGCTGTTATCCAGAGTATAAGAGATGTCCATAAATTAATACATACCAAATTGATCAATGCTTCTTAAAAAGCCTATAAGTGTCCTTCCATCTCGAAGCAGGACCAAGTGCTTTTCTGGGGAGAGGGGAAAAAAATCTTTTAAACAAAAACTGACTAGTTCAGTGAGTTTTTAAGATATTAAAGTTAATAACAGTTTAAACTGTACCACTTCCTCTGCCAATGTATTTAAGGTGAAGTTCAAGTTCATTGGAGAACTGGAGGGAGAAGCACAGCAGCCCGGGATTTAGATAAGAACATCAATGGTGAAGAGAATCAGAGCAGTGTGGCAGAGTGGGACAAAGACAGGGTATGGCATCAGGAAGCCTGACTGGCTGGCTCTAGACCCTTATTTATTTATTTATTTAGACAGAGTCTCACTCTGCCACCAAGGCTGGAGTGTACTGGCTCACTACAGCCTCCCAGGTTCAAGCAATCCTCCAGCCTCAGCCTCCTAAGTAGGTGGGACTATAGGAATATGCCACCACGCCTGGCTAATATTTGTATTTTTTTTTTGAGATGGAGTTTCGCTCTTGTTACCCAGGCTGGAGTGTAACGGCGCGATCTCGGCTCACCGCAACCTCCACCTCCTGGGTTCAGGCAATTCTCCTGCCTCAGCCTCCTGAGTAGCTGGGATTACAGGCATGTGCCACCATGCCCAGCTAGTTTTTTGTATTTTTAGTAGAGACGGGGTTTTACCATGTTGACCAGGATGGTCTCGATCTCTCGACCTCGTGATCCACCCGCCTTGGCCTCCCAAAGTGCTGGGATTACAGGCTTGAGCCACCGCGCCCGGCTAATATTTGTATTTTTAGCAGAGACGGGGTTTCATTATGTTGGCCAGGCTGGTCTTGAACTCCTGACTTCGTATGATCTGCCCACTTTGGCCTCCCAAAGTGCTGGGATTATAGGAGTGAGCCATGGTGCCCAGCCTAAAGACCCTTATGTTTGACACTTAAACTGTCTCAGTGTAGTGTCAGTTTTTATGTCTGTAAATTGACAAATTTAGTCTAGATGATTCTTTTTTTTTTTTTTTTTTTTTTTTTTTTTTTTGAGACGGAGTTTCGCTCTTGTTACCCAGGTTGGAGTGCAATGGCGCGATCTCGGCTCACCGCAACCTCCGCCTCCTGGGCTCAGGCAATTCTCCTGCCTCAGCCTCCTGAGTAGCTGGGATTACAGGCACGTGCCACCATGCCCAGCTAATTTTTTGTATTTTTAGTAGAGACGGGGTTTCACCATGTTGACCAGGATGGTCTCGATCTCTCGACCTCGTGATCCACCCGCCTCAGCCTCCCAAAGTGCTGGGATTACAGGCTTGAGCCACCGCGCCCGGCCGTCTAGATGATTCTTACAGTCTTATTTATAGAATTATTTTGTCCTCAACTTAAAAGAAGAGCTTCTATCTCACATTTGTTTGTAACCAGGGAAGGCTTTAAATAAAAACTCATTGCTTCAGGCATTTAAAATGAAGACTAATAATAAGCTAGAGCAGAAATTCAATGTTTACTGACAGGCATATGCTATTCTGGGGTCTAGACATATAGTAGAGAATGAGACTCAGAAAGTCACCAACCTTATGAATTTATATTCATGGTGGATGAGGACAAATAAATAAGAAAATTACCCATTGTGATTAGGACAATGGAATAATAAGCTAGCAAGACAGTATGACGAAAGGAGAGAAGTGGTTACAGAAGGAAGGGTGGCAAGGAAAAGCCTCTCTCTGAAGAGGTGACTTTGAGCTGACACTGAAGAATGAGAATAAGCCAATTAGTAGCACACCCAGCAAAATTTCTTTCATTCACTTCTTTAATGCCATGCCTAAAGTACTTTGTAGATGCACAACAAGGAAAAAGAAAAAAGACAGGAACTGTGCCCTGAAGGAATTTATACTCTTCCTTGGGCTATATGTAAGTATCATACAAAGCAAATCTTAATTATATGAGACTACAGAGAGAGAAGTTTTATTTCTGGAGGAGGCAGATAATTTCTTGAAAGGTAGATAATTTCTGGGCAAGGGAAGAGTAATAGGAAGAGGCGGTAGAAGGAAATTTGTAAACTGAGGAGGAGGAAAAAAGGGGCTATATATCCATGTTTGGCTAAAAGCTGAGGGTGTGAAGGGAAAGTACAGTAGATAAAGTCAGAAAAGTACTAGGGGCAGGCTGCATTTGGATTTTACTTCATAAGAAACAAGAAAACATTAGGTGATGGAGTCTGTTAACTCAGTTTGTATATGTGGGTATGTGTGAGAGGGTGGGGTGCTGAAGATGTGAGGTAAACAAGATGTAAGAGCTTTTTTTTTTTCTTTTTTTTTTTAAGAGACGGGGTCTCGCTATGTTGCCCAGGCTGGAGTGCAGTGGCTATTCACAGGCGCGATCCCAGTACTGATCAGCATGGGTGTTTTGACCTGCTCCGTTTCTGACCTGGGCCGGTTCACCCCTCCTTAGGCAACCTGGTGGTCCCCTGCTCCCTGGCGGTCACCATATTGATGTCGAATTTAGGGCAGACACCCAATCGGCGTAGCGGACTACAGCCCAGAGCTTCTGGACTCAAGTGATCCTCCCACCTCAGCCTCCCAAGTAGCTGGGACTACAGGCACGCACCACCGCGCACAGATTTAAGTTTTTTTTTGTTTTTTGAGATGGAGTTTCGCTCTTGTTACCCAGGCTGGAGTGCAATGGCATGGCCTCGGCTCACCGCAACCTCCGCCTCCTGGGTTCAGGCAATTCTCCTGCCTCAGCCTCCTGAGTAGCTGGGATTACAGGCACGCACCACCATGCCCAGCTAATTTTTTGTATTTTTAGTAGAGACGGGGTTTCACCATGTTGACCAGGATGGTCTCAATCTCTTGACCTCGTGATCCACCCGCCTCGGCCTCCCAAAGTGCTGGGATTACAGGCTTGAGCCACCGCGCCCGGCTACAGATGTAAGTTTTATAAGACATCACAAAAGTATTTACCAAGAGTTGGGAATAAAAGCAGTAAGCTCAAGGTGAAGGTTATTAGCTCTTTGTGGTTCTAAAGTGCTATCAGGACACTTACATAGAAACATATGCAGACAGTTGGAAACAATAAGACTGGAAAGCCAAAGACATCAAGATTAGAGAAAGTAATTTTGGATAAATCTACAAAGAGGTGATATGAAATTACTGAAGTAGCAGAGATCTACTGAAGAAGTGGGCCACATGTAATCTAAGTGACCATCTATTTTGGAGAACAGTAAGAGCCAAAGAGGTAAGAAAATCACCAAGTACCAATTGTTAGAGAAATCAAGAGAAGAGAATTATAGAATCTGGTAGGGACAATATCACAATGCTGCAGAAGGGAGAGAACACAAAAGAATGCCTTAGATGATTAACTTTGAAGAATGTACCTTGAGTACAGTACAGGATAAAAATTAGATTGCAGGAGTAATATAAATGGTCTATTGAAGGTGATCAGGAAACATAGTGTCAAAATGAAAATGACTCAAGGTTTTGAGATAAAGATATGAAAAAAGGGATGGGAATATGATGAGATAGAACTGAGAAAATATTTGAGATGGACAGACAATAATACATATGAAGGGAAGAACACAGGGGTTGGGGAGACAGGGGATATGAAAGAAAAAGGATAACAATGAAAAAGGTTCCAGAAGCAGTGAGAAGAGACAGTAGTAACAGACAAAAAGGTAGGAATCCTTCCTACTCAAATTAGAGGACGGGTGAAAATACTGAAAGACTGAGAGAAGAAACTGTGTGTTAGGTTGGGGGAGCAAAGGGTGCTTATCAAAATGGTTTCAGAGTTTTCATAAAGTAGGCAGTCTGGAATCTACAAAGAGGTAGGGGTTAGAGGGCTGAAGAATAAAACTGATTTTTAGTAAAATGGCAGGATGTGTTAGGGGATATATAAGAAGAGATAAGAGCAAAAGGGCATCCTCAAGCAACAAAAACATCTTGTTACACATAACAGGTTCATATAGATGTTAATATATATGTATTTAGTCCAATTACACTTAATTTCCCTTACATAGCAAAGTAAGTAATTTGAGTTTCAAAAATTGTATGTTGGCCGGGTGCGGTGGGTCACACCTGTAATCCCAGCACTCTGGGAGGCCGAGGTGGGTGGATCATCTGAGGTCAGGAGTTCGAGACCAGCCTGGCCAACATGGCGAAACCCCGTCTCTACTGAAAATGCAATGGTTCGATCTCGGCTCACTGCAGCCTCCTCCTCTCCAGTTCAAGCGATTCTCCCGCCTCAGCTTCCCAAGAAGCTGGAATTACAGGAACCCGCCACAGTACCCAGCTAATTGTAGGGCTTTCACCATGTTGGCCGGGCTGGTCTTGAACTCCCAACTTCAGGTGATGTGCCTGCCTCCTCCTCTCAAAGTGCTGGGATTACAGGCGTGAGCTACCGTGCCTGGCCCATAAAATGAAATTTTAATCACAGATTCTAAGTTGCATATTCACAGAGTAACTAAGGCAATTGCAACTTGTTTAAAACTATGTGTAAATCATCTTGCAACAAGAGGTTAGTGAGAAAGGTCACATGATTGAAACAATAAAAAATGTTGCTAGAGGAATAATGCACAGATAGAACTTAGAAAAAAGGAAAGCCAGGACAACTCCAGTGGTTCTTTCTGCTTTTGCATAGGACTGAGCTCCTCTTCCGGACCAAAAATAGGAATAAGGGAGGTCTTCTTAGTAAAAGCAAAAGTAAATTGTCTAATAGAAAATAAGTGGTTAGAAGTGACTTGGTCTTTCCGGAAAAGCCGATACCATGTCTAACAGTGGTCTTTACAATAACTTGAAGGTGCTAATTACCTTCATAGTAAAAAGAAGCTAGTAAATGACCACACCGTAGAAAGCCTATGTTTAATGCCAATTAAATACAACTACTACTGTCTTAATATTTTCGCTTTTTAATGAATCTTTTCTCTAGGTATTCAGATCCATCCACCCGTAACACGCGAATACTTCGAAATACTGCAGGTGGGAGTGGACGGGAGAGAAGCCCCCTTGGGCTTCTGCTGTTCGGCCCTCTGCTGCGGCGACCCACGGAAGCAATAATGAATTCCATCGCCTGGAGCTCACCAACCCGGAGGCTGGCAGAGGCTGCGAGGGGCAGAACAAGAAGTAGCAGGCTACCGGGTGGGCAAGTAGTGTGTCCCGGAGCTGTGAAGGACATCAACGCGGAACACCCGGATTGAGCTCAGAACACAGGGTCCCCGCCCGGGACTTATTCTACCAGCTTCTTCGGAAGAGGCGTCCGCCGGGGAGGAAGGGTCTCCCCCAGGCTCCACAGCGTGGAGATGAACTACTCACTGTCAATGTCCTCGATGAGGCTGGCGGTGCCGGGCATATAGTTCATTTTGAAGGGAAATAACGCTGCACAGAGGTGGGGGCCAGCGCGTCCAAAACCTCCGCCCTCCTACCGAAGTCGCCGCCTCGGCGGGGCTGACCCCGGAACCCCGACCCAGACCAGCACTTCTGCCCCGGCTTTCAGCCGCCGGGGCCTGCCGGAAGCTCCTCCATATTATCCCCACCCACTTCCGGTATCACGTGCCGGCCCCCCAGGAAGAGGCGGGGCAGCCGTACTGTCCATGGACACCCTTTGCCTATTCCTGTTAAGTAGGGAAGAGGAATCTCCATTGGATAGATGGTGAGGAAACGTATCCTCCCTCTTAAGGAACACGGCGTCTCCCTCCCCGTCTCTGGGTTCCCGAGATCCCAGAGTCACGGACATCCGTCCCCCAGCTCTCGGGGCTCGGCAGCAGAAGGGGCGGGACCGGGCCTGGGATTGGCTGGCGTCGTCTGACCCCCTTCTCTGCTCACCATTCGCAATCACCCGCGGGCGCCTGCGCTATGGGTCGGCCGTGGGGGGCGGGAAGCGCTTCAGGGCAGCGGAGCCCATGTCGGCCCTGAGGCGCTCGGGCTACGGCCCCAGTGACGGTCCGTCCTACGGCCGCTACTACGGGCCTGGGGGTGGAGATGTGCCGGTGCACCCGCCTCCGCCCTTATATCCGCTTCGCCCAGAACCTCCCCAGCCTCCCATTTCCTGGCGGGTGCGCGGGGGCGGCCCGGCGGAGACCACCTGGCTGGGAGAAGGCGGAGGAGGCGATGGCTACTATCCCTCTGGAGGCGCCTGGCCAGAGCCAGGTCGAGCCGGAGGAAGCCACCAGGTAAGCTTTGCACCCTCTGTCCTCGCGAGGAGGTGAGGGCCCTTGGGACTGGGGTTCGTAATGAATCGGGTTTCATATTTGTTTTCCTTATGTGGAGGAGGGTTGGGGGGTGTTGGAGAGACCGAGGCTGGCATCAGAGGTGGGGGGATATGCTTGTGTTCCCTTTGCCCCTTCTTTTTTGCCTCGACCACAAAAAAATGTTTATTACCATTTAAAAAGGAAGGGAAGGTCCTGCGCGGACTTACTAAGCTTAGCAGCAGGCTGCAGTTCTCTCTCCTGGGAACGGTGCTGGGCAGGGGTGGCACGGCTTTGCTGCTGGAGCTCTAGCAATTTATCCTGCGTGGCTGGCAGGCCGGCTCTCCCGGGAGGGGAAGCGGCTGCAGCCCCTGACGTCGCTCAGCGACCCTTCCGCGTACAAGGAAACTGTGCGAGAGGAAGCGATCTGGGCATTTAGCCGTTTGCCCCTAATGCCTTGCCTGGGATCGAATCGTGAATAATCAGTGCTGTAAAGCACCTTTACGCGGATTGACTGATAAAATTTTCACAGCGACTGCGAGGTAAAATGTCATGACAGCAGCTCTTTTTTTTCCAGCAAAGGACCGGGGCTCTGCGAGGTTAACTCACTTGCCTAATACACTTGGACCTGTAATATTTTATTCTGTTTTCCTGCTGGAAATATACTTCTGCTTTGTGAATGCAGTCTTCTGGGTAGGGGGTTATCGTTCTGCGGTGGCGGCACACCTCTCTTCGTTCAAGAATTATCCTCATTTGTTGAAAATGAGATTCTCGAACATTGCTGGTGGGGATGTAAAATGGTGGAAAATAGTTTGGTAGTTCCTCAAAACATTAAGCATAGAGTTAGTATATGACCCAGCAAACCCACTCCTGTATATACACCAAAGAAAACTGAAAACATGTTCACACAAAACTTGTATACCTGTGTTCATACCATCGTTATTCATAATCGCCAACAAGTAGAAATGTCTTTTTTTTTTTTGAGATGGAGTCTCGCTCTGTTGCCCCAGCCAGAGTGCAATGGTGCAATCTTGGCTCACTGCAGCCTCCGCCTCTCGGGTTCAAGTGATTTTCCTGCTGAGCCTCCAGAAATGCTGGGATTACAGGCGTGAGCCACTGTGCTCAGCCCCAAATGTCGTTTTATCATTTGAGTTATCAAGTGAGTGAACTTCTCAGAGCCCTGATTCTTTATTAGAATACGGGAATGTTGTAAGGACATAACGACTGATGCATCACTAAACAAAATATGGTGTTAATATATTCGTACAATGGAATATTATTATTATTATTATTATTATTATTTTTTTTTTTGAGACAGAGTTTCGCTCTTGTTACCCAGGCTGGAGTGCAATGGCGCGATCTCGGCTCACCGCAACCTCCGCCTCCTGGGTTCAGGCAGTTCTCCTGCCTCAGCCTCCCGAGTAGCTGGGATTACAGGCACGGGCCACCACGCCCAGCTAATTTTTGGTATTTTTAGTAGAGACGGGGTTTCACCATGTTGACCGGGATGGTCTCGATCTCTCGACCTCGTGATCCACCCGCCTCGGCCTCCCAAAGTGCTGGGATTACAGGCTTGAGCCACCGTGCCCGGCCTACAATGGAATATTATTTGGCCGTAGAAAGAGTGAAGTACTGATGTGTGCTGCAATATGAATGAACGTTGAAAACATCACACTACCTGAGCAAAGTCAGAAAGACTGCATATTGTATGATTCCATTTACGTGAAATGTCCAGAGTAGGCAAATCTATAGAGACAGAATGCTTAATGGTTGCCAGATGTTGGTGGACTGGAGGTGTAGGTGAGAATATTGAGAATATTCTTTCTGGGATGATGAAATGTTCTAAATCAGGGCCGGGTGATGTGACTCACACCTGTAATCCCAGCACTTTGGGTGGCTGAGGCGGGAGGATTGCTTGAGCCCAGGAGTTTGAGACAAGCATGGGAAACATAGTAAGACCTCATCTCTAAAGAAAAATAAAAAATAAGAAATGTTCTAAAATCAGTGGTGATGGTTGCATTGCACAACTCTGAATATACTAAAAACTCTGAATTGTATATTTTAAAAGGGTAGGATTTATAGTTGATTATATCACAATTTAAACAATTGTATGAGAAAAACATGTAGCAGTCAGAGATTAATTATTTTTTATTTTCGAGGTGGAGTCTTGCTCTGTCAACCAGGCTGGAGTGCAGTGGCACAATCTTAGCTTACTACAACCTCTGCCTCCCGGGTTCCAGCGATTCTCCTGCCTCACCCTCCCAAATAGCTGGGATTATGGGTGGCTAATTTATGTATTTTTAGTAGAGATGGGGTTTCAGCATGTGAGCCACCATGTCAGATTTTTCTTTTTCTTTTTTTCTTTTCTTTTCTTTTTTTTTTTTTTTTGAGACGGAGTTTCGCTCTTGTTACCCAGGCTGGAGTGCAATGGCGCGATCTCGGCTCACCGCAACCTCCGCCTCCTGGGTTCAGGCAATTCTCCTGCCTCAGCCTCCGGAGTAGCTGGGATTACAGGCACGTGCCACCATGCCCAGCTAATTTTTTGCACCTTTAGTAGAGACGGGGTTTCACCATGTTGACCAGGATGGTCTCGATCTCTTGACCTCGTGATCCACCCGCCTCGGCCTCCCAAAGTGCTGGGATTACAGGCTTGAGCCACCGCGCCCGGCTTGATTTTTCTTTAATTTATAATTAATCTTGGCCAGACACTTTGGCTCACTCCTGTAATCCCAGCACTTTGGGAGGCCATGGTGAGTAGATCACCTGTGGTCACAAGTTTGAGACCAGCCTGGCCCATGCAGGGAAACCGCATCTCTACTAAAAATACAAAACTTAGCTGGATATGGTGGCAGGCGCCTGTAATCCCAGCTACTTGGGAGGCTGAGGCAGGAGAATTGCTTGAATCTGGGAGGCGGAGGTTGCAGTGAGCCGAGATCACACCATTGCACTCTAGCCTGGGAGACAAGAGTGAAACTCCATCTCAAAAAAAAAAAAAAAAAGTCCGCATTTTCTCTGCCTAAATCTGGAATACGTAGGTCATGGGACTTTATAGAGTGATGAAATGCTTGGCCAAATTAGGCCAAAAATCAGTTGAAGTGGGGAAAGAGGACAGGACCCCTCAGCCCTATCAAAACCAAAGTTTCTGGCATAGAGTTAGGGAGAGTTGGATAGACTAGAGAAGTTAAGATTTTAGCATTGTGTAAAGAGTTGTCAGGTGTGGTTTGAGTTCACTTGTACCCATAGGGTGGGTAATGGTGCTGAAGTAGTTGGAGATAAAGGTGGAAATGTGTAGTGGGCATTTGTAAACCATTTTAAGAGTGTGTGCTGTCTTTCAGAATGATTCTGAAACTATAAAAGTATAAGATGGTAATTTTTCTGCAGCAATAGAAACTAATGCAAAAGATATGCATGTTAGAGATGTTGCAATGTTTTTTTCTGAATTTGATCTTTTGTTTTTTTTTTATGTTTTTTATTTTTATAGTATAAATCTGTCAAATTAAACAAACAGTATAGGAACCTTTTATTTAACCTTGCTACTCAAAGTGTGGTCCATAGACTAGAAGCCTCAGTGTTGTTTGTGAGGCTGATAGAAATGTGAAAATCCTCTTCCAGACTTACTGCTGCAATTTATTAAGATCCCCAGGTGATTCATATGCACATTAATATTTGAGAAGCATTGCTCTGTAGAATTGGTTATATTGAGATGATGTTGCACTGAACTATAAAACAGACTTGGCTATATTAACATATTTCAATATGGCAGGGAAAAAATTTGAAATCTACCACTCCCTATTTTTTTTTTTGAGATGGAGTTTTGCTGTTGTTACCCAGGTTGGAGTGCAATGGCGAGATCTCAGCTCACCGCAACCTCCACCTCCTGGGTTCAGGCAATTCTTCTGCCTCAGCCTCCTGGGTAGCTGGGATTACAGGCACATGCCACCATGCCCAGCTAACTTTTTTTTTTATTTATTTTATTTTATTTTTTTTATTTTTTTTAAAAGGCACGCGCCACCATGCCCAGCTAATTTTTTGTATTTTTAGTAGAGACGGGGTTTCACCATGTTGACCAGGATGGTCTCGATCTCTTGACCTAGTGATCCACCCGCCTTGGCCTCCCAAAGTGCTGGGATTACAGGTGTGAGCCACCGTGCCCAGCCGACCCAGCTAACTTTTTGTATTTTTAGTAGAGACGGGGTTTCACCATGTTGACCAGGATGGTCTCGATCTCTCGACCTCGTGATCCACCCGCCTCGGCCTCCCAAAGTGCTGGGATTACAGGTGTGAACCAATGCGCCCGGCCCCCATTTTTTTTTTTTAATTTCTTTTTTTTTTTTTAAATGGAATTCCACTCTGTTTGCCCAGGCTGGAATGCAGTGGTGCAATCTCAGCTCACTGCAACCTCTGCCTCCCAAGTTCAAGCGATTGCCTCAGGCTCCCACGGAGCTGGGATTACAGGTGCATGTCACCACGCCCAGTTAGTTTTGTATTTTTAGTACCCAGCCACTCTCTGTTTTTTTAAAGAGTAAAACTTTAGGCTGGGTGAGGCGGCTTACGCCTGTAATCCTAGCACTTTGGGAAGCTGAGGTGGGTGGATCACCTAGGGTTGGGAGTTCAAGACCAACCTTGCCAACATGGTAAAACCCCATCTCTACTAAAAATACAAAAATTAGCTGCGCATGGTTGTGAGTTCCTGCAATCCCAGCTGCTCTGGGAGGCTGAGACAGGAGAATCACTTGAACTCCGGGAAATGGGGGTTGCAGTTAGCTGAGGTTATGCTACTGCACTCCAGCCTGGGCAACAGAGTGAGACTCTGTCTCAAAACAAAAGGGTAAAACTTTAAAGAATAAAACTTTTTGGCTGGGCGCGGTGGCTCACGCCTGTAATCCCAGCACTTTGGGAGGCCAAGATGGGTGGATCACCTGAGGTCAGGAGTTCGAGACCAGCCTGGCCAATGTGGTGAAATACCGTCTCTACCAAAAATACAA